TAATAATACCAGCTGAGTAGTTACTATGTGCTACATTGGTGATACCCATTTACATACCATACCACTCAGAGAGTAATAAGTACCACAGCCCTTGATTGTAGGCTAAAAAAATGAGGGAGAATTTTGAGAAAAAATGATGAACAGTAGAAGAATAAAATCAATGAAAGGCAATGGAACTCCATTGGGAATTTTACTTACATAAAATAAAAAATATGGTAAAATGCCATCTGAAAGACAGTTATTGGAGGTGGGGTCATCTTTGGAGTCTGGAAGAAAGCATAGAGGAAGAATTAGCTGCTCATGTGTGCCAGGATCCTCCATTCTGCCTCCACATCCCCACTGCCTTGTTTATTAGGGCACACAAAGCCAAACACAACTCCAGAGGCTAGGATACAAATGATTCAGGCAGTCCTGGGTATACTGTGGACCTCAAGGTCCAACAACCTTTTTCTTGCTGCTTCCTTATCTAAACTAGCCACTGGCTTCTCTGCAAGATTCTGAAAATGGAAGGGCATGATCACCTGTGGCCCTCTGAGATCCAGTGGGTTTTAAGTATCAATGGAAAAGAGATGGGAGTATTTCATTCTGTCAAAATTGTATTTGTGTGGATTTGCTTCACTAAATGATAACAGGCAGATGCTTTCGACTAAAATGGTATCTGAGGTTGACCTAGGAAAAGGATTTCATTCCCAAGAAAGTAAAGGATACATCTAAAGTAGGACTTACTTGTTGAATTCTCCCAACTAGACTTTTATGTGGCCCATGTCAGTAAACTCCTAGTCAGGTTTGACGAGCTATTAAAAGCTCTGCTCATTTGGAGGGTATTAAAATAACAGATGGTCAGTCTGAACCAGCAAAGCACATGCTCCAACAACCTTTCTGGAGGCCTCTTCCTATAGCGGAGCATCATTCTTACATCAGGCCACATCAAAAATGCCCTGACCTGGATCCCTCTGCTATCCAGAGAAAGAGGTCCTCCCGCTACAGAAATGTGTGTGCGCTTCCATTCCATGATGCTGTAGAAACCACCACCATCCCTGTGGCTACTTCCAGTGTCAAAGCAAGAACCTAGAATTCTAGCTCAGTCTCAGTCAGAATGGAGGCATATAGGTTAGAGGAGAAAAAATGAATAGGGAAATACAAAGATATTATCCCACTGTCAATGACTGTGCCATGGGGCCACTGAGACCCTGGCAATGGTAACACCTGGCCATTGGGTTTGCCAGTGAGTTTTGAGTTCCTTCACTAGGTCTGACCTGTCTTCTCCCTGATTTTTCCATACCAACCACATGTAGCTGCCTTACCTCAAAGCCAGAGAAGCTCAACACCATCAAGTGAAATTGGAACCACCCCACCAAGCAGTCCCCACCACATCCTGACCTGGCAAACTGGGTGAGTTCTCCTTTGAAGCTTTGGCCTGGTTCTTCCAGATTCTACACTGTATTAGCTAGAAAAAACATCACCAATATTGAGATCCCTAGTGACAGAAGGATATATCATCAAATGAGTACCAGGAGGGCTCAGGACTGGGAAACTTTCCTTTCAAAGGAATCCCCATATATTGCTGTCACCTTCTCTCCAGCTGCCCTGCTGTTCTTTGATGGGTATGAATTCTGTGTATTCTGTTTTAGAATAGACAATGACCCCTGGGATGTTGAAAGGTGAACTAAGAAGTAGACTCAATTCCAGACAGCATTTGATTTGGGTTCCAATGATATTAAGGCCCTCTTGAAATACTAAGCAAAAATGTCAGAGAGAGCACCCCGGACCAGATATTACACAAACTTCTCAATGTGATCATTGTCTTAATATCAGGGTACATCTTAAGAAAAGGCATTCTTTATCAAGAAAGGGGATATGGCACCTTGAGGCCCTTAAGTAGAAGCTGCCCACAGCAAAATAACTGGAACCAGGAGTCAGCTCTGCCTTGTAGCTTTAAATGTAGCTTATTGCAGTACAATCTGTGGCCAGTTAAGATGGTCTGATCTTCCAAAGGGTCAAACAGGCACAAGTATCCTGCTTTGTTGTAGGCTGCCACTTTCTACCCCACTTCCTACCTGTCTTCTGTTGCTGCCTCTTTGATGTTATGTCTGTCAACACCTGCTGGTTTCTGGAAGCAGTGGCAGGGGAGGGGATCCCATATCCAGCTAATCCACAGCTTTTGCTTTATTAGAGCATTGGTGGGCATGTCTGGGAAAAATCTGACAGCTTTGTGCTGAATTATAAGAAAACCACAGTCCTATAGTTGGTGGCACTGACTGTATTCAAGCGCCATGCTTAGTATCTTTACTCCTCCTGCACATTTATCTGTAGTGCTTTCTATACCAGGACTTTTTTTTAGAACCTTCATCTTTCATAGATTGGAGGAGAAATAACACTTACCAAGTACTTACTATGAACTCAGAGGCTGAAAGCTTCTTATAATGTATTTGAGTTCATGGAATACCTTCTGGCAAGGGAAGTATCTAGATCTTTTGGTTTTATAGGTTTGACTTCGAGAAAATATGTGCCTTAGCCGAAGTTGCACAGCTAGAGCCTGTGACCTCCCCAAGCTATATTTTCTACCATGCCAGTGGGTCTTAAAATGTGGATCCTGAGATCAGCAGCTGAGCTTCGCTTGTGATCTTATCAGAAATGCAAGTTCTCAGGCCACCCAAGACCTACTGAAGCAGAAGCTCTGGGGTGGCCCAGAAGGTGTGTTTAAATGAGCCCCTAGGTCATTATGATCAATGGTTTCACACCCACTGAACTAGCCCATGTGACCTCTTTATTCTTCAAATTAAGAAAATGTACAGTCTACAACTACATGTTCTCACGGCTTCTGGTAGCAGCTGCCTTTATTACAAATCACTGTTAATACTTGCTTATATACCATTCTCTTCCCAGCCTAGCCTCTGTGTCCAGATAGCTTCTTGGTTTAGGGTCTAAGTGTCTCCCAGTATTAAGTTATATAGGAGTGACACATATATATATATAACTCTAGAGGCTAAACCATATCATCCAATAGGATGTTTCAGATCTTAAGATACCTCTGTGGACCCTCCAGAGGTTTCGGATCATACTCAGTCTTATCTGTTCCAAATATGTGCCTACATTATTTGACTGATAATAGGCTCTGAAATTTACAAGCATAACTCCCATGCCTACTTACTTAAGTTGGTCCTTGCACTTACCTGTTTTAGGCATACAGCTAGTAAGGACTCAAGACAAACTGGAAACAAAAAGATATTGTAGTCCTTGGAGTCTAGATCCTTTACCAGATTGAGTAGAATTAGTCAAGATTAATAGCTGTTCCCTGTAATATGATAAGAAAATAAGAGTGGGTAAAACGTGTTAATACCTGGCTTCCTAAAAGAACCAATAAAGTCTTTTGACTCCAATGGTGGAGACTGAAAGTTCTGTTAAGACTCTAGTGTTTGTCACAGATGCTTGGGTGTATAATCTTCCCACTGTGTTAATAAGCTACTAATCACGCATGTCAGTTCTTCTCACTAACATGAACTCTCTTCTCTTCCTCCTTCTGCTTTCCTTTGTTCAGAGAAGCAACAGAAAACTCACCCATCATGGATGGGTCTGAGTCTCCAACTCACCAAAGTACTGATGAATAGAGGTATTGTAAGGCAATGTTTTGTTCTTACTGCCCACGAGTTTGTGATCCAGATGTGCTGCATGTGTTGCTTTTGCCTGTGTCATAATTTCCAGGGGGAAACATCTGAATCACCATTATTCCATTATAAAAAATGGAAACTATTATTTTTATGCTTTATTTCTATCTACATGTGGATCTACATGTTTAGACATATGTTTTTACATCAGATGTAGGATATTTCCCATGCATCTTCCCAGAAGAGACCCCCAAAGTGTATTTTAGGCTTTCCCCCACACACTTGTAGACACACACTTGTAGAAGTTTTTAACTAGTTTTAAGTAGTGTCCATGAAAACAGCATCAGTGCTGATTGAAACACCCAAAGAGCACTGATAACTGCGTCTTACCATTTTTGAGTCACAGTTGTATGCTGTACCCGATACTATATAGAGAGCCCTGTTTTCAAAATGTGGCTTATAAATTAACACTAACACCCACCTGGGAGCTTAAAATGGACACCATTCTGGCTATTGAATCAAATGCCCATTGAAATTCGCAAAGCACTAATACCACAAATACAAAACAGTAGCCCCTGCTCTGATTCCTACCCCCTGAGACCTTAAAGTCTAGGTAATCAATTGCACAGCTCTGAAACTAAATAGCATCTCAAGGGCACCATGCAGAAGTAGAAATAAAATTTTAGTAGATCAAAAAATGGAGCTCTGAATAAGAAACTGCCACATAAATGTATTCAGTGCTCTATGGGTTAAAATCAAAATGCTAAGATGGTTAGGGGATGAGGGGATTCTTTTAAGTTCCTGGATATACTTTTGGAGCCTGGCTTCAAAGAACTACAATGGGAGTTGAGGGAGATAGAGAAACATCCCAAGAGTAAAATATAGGTACAGAAACCAGTGGGGCTATTTAGGGAACAGCAAGCTTGCTTTTCAGTAGAAAAAGAGCAGAACTTCAGCCTGGAATGTAGGTTGGGACACAGTCATGAACAAATCATCAGAGAGTTATGGAACACTTTTTATAGTTGTCCAAAGGGGGATTAGGAAAGCAGGGAGGAGGATGGATGCCTTGTCCTCTGGTGAAAGAGAAGGGATGAGAGGGAATGATGTGTCATGACAACATTTTTGAATTACAGTTAGTTTTCTTTTTGCTCTAATATGAAAGGATAAAATATGCAAAGGATGATAGAAGTGAAGATGGAAGTAGATCCTTGAGAGGTAGATTTGAAAGGCTCCTATGGGAATGTAGTTGAGTCAGCTCAAAAGGAATTAAAAATATTAATGCTGAATAGCAGCACATATCGAAGCCAGGCAAGACATGATGAGAACAGAGGGTCTTATCACTCTGGCTTTGTGACCAGCAGCACTGTTTGCCAACCCACATATGTCCAGCCAGTTGCTTTGGTAGCTTAAATCATATCCCTCAACTAATAGTAAGATATGGAGATAAGGCAATACTCAACATTTAGTAAGATATGAAGATAAACCATGGCTGAAATTGATTTACAGAATAAGTTTATAAAATTTATAGGTAATGGTCAAAGTTCATTTCCCCAGGATCTTACACATATAACTTTCTCCACTTCTGTGCCAGGCATTAAAAGCCACAAATTTCTCTAAGATGTGGATGGTAGAGGCTTATGAATTCATCAGCTGCCCTGGCTTAGCCAGTACTGCTGTGGGCCAAGCACCTCTGTAAGTCTCTGAGTACTACTCTGAGAAGAGGCATTCTTCAGGGGAAAGCTCCCACAGGCAGTGGCCTTCAGGAAGTCACCACCTCTGGCACCCTAGGTGGTAATTAAGGAATACCCCTAGGTCTTCATTCTATCTCTACCCTTGTTATAGTAAATGACTGCCCTAAACTTCTCAAGGGTGACTATTTAGTGTCTCTCTGTTTATATTATTTATAAAGAGCAACTGCTTCCTAAACAGTGTGTTTTGTTAACTTTGCTTTCTTGACACACAGCATTTCTTGATTATCTTAGAACTGAATTTGTACTGAATGAGAACCAAGCACTTAGCTGAGTCACCACAACAGGGTATCTTCCCCATAAAATGTTAACACATTAAGCAACATTAATAACCTTAAAAGTCACATGTCACATACTCAACAGTGCTGGGAGAACCACTTAACAAATATTCCACGTAAAACATCTAAGGTTAGTCTTTCCACCTTCATTTTGTCATTATTTTCTCTAGAAAATAACTTCTAATCAGAAAAAAGAAAGAAAAAGTACACTTCAGAAGAAGTATACAAGTTCCATTCTTCTCAGAGGCAGGGGCATGGCTTTTTACGTCACGATCCTTAGGGATCCACATGGAGTCTAAACCATCAGCCAAGTGGGTGGGTCCCATCCGGTTCCCCCCTCCCCCCAATTCAGATTTTGGTTTGTCTGTTTTATGTATTAGTTTGCTGATGAGCTAATTAAATAAAAGGGTTTTCAAAGCTGCAAACCCCATAGAACTTTATAATAGCACACTGCCCTGTCAGATTTGAGGTTCTGTTGATGCAAGAACTCTCCAACTGAGTCACAGGAGAACAATGTGGACCAGACATGAATTAGATCGTGTCTCACCTACAGAGCAAAGCACTTCACACAGAACTTCTGCCTTGTAGACACTACTGCTTTGACCTCAGTGGCCTGTCATTGATCCTACAATGAATATAAAGACCATTTCCTCTGAAGCAGATCATACTGTGACAAAGGCCCTTCATATTTGTGATGCCACTGTTACTTAAATTTTTAAATTATTTATTTATTTTTATGTTTATGTGTAAGCTGGAACTGTGGTCCCCTCTGGGGAGCAAAACTTGTGATCTCCTCCTGTAAGCTGGAGCTATAGTCCCCTCCCACAAACATGGAGCTATGTTCCCCTCCCATGAACCTGAGCTGAGCTCCTCCTCCCATAAACCAGAGTCGTGGTCCACTCATGTGAGCTGGAACTGTGGTCCCCTCCTGTGAATCCTGAGTTGTGGTCCCCTCCCATGAACCTGGAACTGAGAGTCCCTCCTGTGAGCTAAAGTTGTGGTTCCCTCCTGTGAGCCTGAGTTGTGGCCCTATCCTGTGAACCTGGAGTTCCTCCCATAAGGCTGTGGTCCCATGAGCCTGAAATTGTGGTGGTCCCCTCCTGGGAATTGGAGCAGTGCCCCTGTACATCATGAGCCAGAGTTGTGGTCTACTCTTACAAACTTGAGTTGTGGTCCCCTCATGTGAGCTAGAGCTACGGTACCCTCACAAGAGCCTGCAGCTTTGAACTTCTACAGTGAGCCACAGTTCCACATTCCTCTGGCTGTAGCTGATGGTGGAGCAGAGTAGAGCCTGGAGGACTCCGGATGTTGGGCAGCTGTTTCAGTCTTCTCTGGGTGACTACACTGCCCACAGTCCCTCCCCTCAGGTCCCAGGTTGTGTGTGGCAGAGACTTTGCCTCTTATACTGGGTACAGGGGAAGTCTCTGTTATTTGCAGATTCTGGTCTTGGGAGGACTGATTGTCTGGAATGGACCTCCCACCTCCCCTGAGGGCCAGCTGTGATCCTCACTCCACATGTGGTCCTGGGTATCCAGGCCTTGATGTTGTATTTTTCCCATTACCAGGCACAAGAGGTTTTCCATTATTTTTTAGTTACTCTTCTACAGCCCCAGTATGCCTTCACCTATGCCCTAACTGAACTTCTAGAGATAAAAATTATAATCTGGGAAGTTAACAACAACAAAAAATAGAATGTACTGTAATAACTAAACTGATATGATCCTCAACCTAAAAACGTGTAATTATATCTTAGAATATAAATTCAAAATTCTATATGTCTACTATAATGTTTGAATATTGTTTACTGACAAAACTGTACTACCAAGCTTCAACAGTAATGAGAAATTTATCACTGCTCCTATAATGTGAGTTTGCCGTTCCCTCTTTTTCCAGATTTTTCAACCTATATAGTCTTTCAATGAATGCATGTTACTTCACTTTATTTGACTGTTTAACTGATTTTTAATAACATGACATAAAGCCCCTGAAACTGATATAATCATTATGCAAAAATGTTGGGGACTGTTCTTAGCCATGTGGCTAAGAACGAAACTCCTCTGCAAGAGTAGCCAATGCTCTTAACCACTGAATCATTCTCCAGCCCTGTTCCTCACTTATTAATAACGAATTGTAAGAGAGTCTGTAATACCAACCTGGGTACGATAGTATTTTCTAGTGTGCATTCTGTGGATGTGAATAGGTGACTTTGGTACTGTTTGAGAAGTTCTAGGTGAAACAAAGTAATTCAAGTCTTATGAGCCTTTGATGTGTGTTCTAAAAGGCCGAGTCCTCAACCTCACTGTCCTTTCATTTCCTCAGAGTATCTCACAGGTGCACTTTGAGAAGCGCTTATTAGCATGGTTCCTTATAGCCACTGACACAGCTAAGGAAAATTTTGTCCCTAAGAGATCCACATCACAACCACACAGACACACATTTCTGTCAGTAGAAATGGTGCTCTTTCCATGCACAGCGCTGCTCTCTGACCCTGCTGACTTCACTCCTTCATGGAAACTGACATTCTCGTTCTTTCAACTGTTTTTTGCTTTGCCATCTCTGAACCAGTGACTGTGGCTGGAAGACTCTAATTGGTAGTCCTGGGTCACACATCCACCTTGGTGGCAGTAAGGGTGTTAGGAAGAGACTGTTCTCTAAGAAGTGCAGGTCTCCAGTAGGACCCAACCACCTTTTCTCATTAAAAGCTCCTAGTTCTTCTGACACAATTTGCAAAAGCCAGTTTTGTCAGTAGAGAATGTTTGCAGAGTGAGTGTAATAGAATCATCCACTCATTTACTCCCAGTATACAGGTATATACAGAGATATCCATGGCCAGTGTTAGGACTAAGGGCTTGCTTTTTGCTTTGCTTCTGAAGCCATATTTAAGCAGAATTAACCTCTGTATTTCTGATGCTCCAAGCACAAGGCTGTCATTAAAACTCACCAGTACGCTCAACAGGCCTTGGGACTTTCTAGTTTTCATTGCCTTTGCTACTTTCGGTGAGGAACATTCACAGAGTACAGAATGCTTTCATTCATGTATTCCTAGAGAAGTCAGCAAATGAGACAGAAAAGTAAGAGCAACTGATTATTATTCTCAGAAGAAGCTGATTTGGGAGGCTTTAAAGATACTCTTTAAGGGGCTAGGGAGATGGCTCAGTAGTTAAGAACACTGGCTGCTCTTAAAGAGGACCAAAGTTTGGTTCCCAGCACCCACATAACAGCTAACAACCATTTGTAACTCCAGTTCCAGAGGATCTGATGCTCTCTTTTGGCCTCCACAGGCACTGCACACAAGTGGTATACCAACATATATGAAGACAAAATACACATGTACATGAAAACTAAAAATAAAATAAGTTTTTAAAAAGATACTCTTTCAACTAGCTTTTCTTTGATCTGTGTTAAATTAGAGTCTCTTACTGTTACCCATCCCCAAAATGGGATTCTAGGTGATTAGCTTCATAGGAGGAACTGAAGGGCAGTTCGAGGACTAGAGAGGGGTTTTTTCTTTAATACTGATCTCTATATATGATTAGTAGTTTCGACATAGCTGTGTGGCCACTGATTGATATTTAAGAATTACCTCTTCCTAACCTTACCTAAATAATAATGCCTATCTGAAGGCCTTTTTTTCTATATATATTTTTTTTCTTCTATATTTTTATTTCATAATTATTTTTAGTGTGGAGTGTTAAACCCAGGACCCTGTGTTTACTAAGCATGATTTCTACTACTAAACTACAGACTGAGCCCCTACTTTATATTTTTTAAAATATTTTTATAAGCCCTTAACCCTAGCATAGTGAGTCATAGGGAGCTCCGAGCCCACTGGGGCTACCGGGAGGCCCTGCCTCAAGAAGACAAAAAGAACAACTTTTTTAAATAAAATAATAATATTGATTTAAGAAACATTTAAAACTCAATTCAAAGTATCACTTCAGTTTCACTCAATTTCAAATGTTCTTCAAGGACAGAGTAAAAATTTACCAGTGAAGGGGCTGGGGAGATGGCTCAGTGGTTAAGAGCACTGGTCGCCCTTACAGAAGACATGGGTTCAAGTCCCAGCACCTAACAACCATCTGTAACTCCAGTTCCAAGGGACCCAACACCATCTTCTGACCTCCTCAGGCATTGCTTGACACAGATGCACTTACATACATCCAGGCAATACACTCATACACATAACATAAAAAATAATAAATAAAATATATTAAAAAAATAATACTAAGAAAAAAATTTACCAGTGAAATCTGGTTAACCCTTGGGTCTGATGGAAGGCAAACCAGTGTCTGTCATTCAGGAAAAATCACCCCGAGGAATACAGCCTCAGGGGCTGTTGTCCTTGACTGTACCTGAGAGTCATCTAAAGGACTTTGAAAGATCCCAACAGTCACATTTGCCCCAGGCCAACAGCATCATCTCCAGGACAGAACGTTGGACATAAGCATTTCTGAGGTTCCTAGGTAATCTTGAGGACCACTGCATTGAACATTAGATTGCATCTCATGAGGCTTCAGGAGGTCTCTTTTACGTGACTCTTATAGTCCATGAATGCCTTCTCTATACTCAGTGCCACTGGAGAGTACCAGGAGCAGGGAAGACAGCCCATCAGTAGAGGGGCTGTTAGTGAACATGTGCCCTGAATGCAGACCCATCAGAGCTCCTCTCCTCTAACTGTATCATCTTTTTGGATCCACAGGAGCTACAGTGATAGCTGCTTCCTGGATTCCTCCCTCTATCCAGAGCTAGCTGATGTCCAATGGTACGGGCAGGAAAAAGCCAAGCCCGGGACCCTCGTGTGAGCCAGCCCGGCCTGATCTGACCGCCTCAACGCCATTTTGAGTCACCTCACTGCCTCTCATTTGCCTTACCCAGACACACTGTCACCTGCACCAGCTTCGGCCCTCAGCACTTTTTTTCTCCTGTCTCCGTATCCCCTTCACCCTCAAAACCTGACTAAGGAGGCATTCTGGAAGGTTCCGGTCCCACTGTGTGTCCCCTGGTTCTCTTACCCACAGAGACCCAGACAACAATCCTCACTGGCACCTTAGTGGCTTCCCCCTGCCATGATGGCCCAAGGCCAGGAACTGTCAGGGAAGCTAGCACTCATGCAATTCCTACAGACTAAAACCATTGGTAGAGAATGGAAAAAGACCAATCTACATGCAGAAAGACAGTGAAGTTGTGTCGAGCTGTTGCTGTAGACCAACTAAGCACTTCAAGAGGAGCATGCCTCATGGGGATATTCATTTTACCCTGAAGTATTCTGAAGTGAGACAGCTCAGAGGAGTACCTAGAGGGGAGAGAGAAAAAGGAAGACCAACACTTCAGAGATGCATTGGAGGATCATAATCAGATCTATGCTGCCAAAGATTAAATACATTCTAAAAATAAACAGATAAGGGGCTAAGAGGAACACATTTTTTTTTTCTGCAGTGAAATTTCTCTTAAATTCTAAACTGCTTCTATGCAGCACAAGTGAAAGTCAACCATTTGTAAATCATGTCTTGTCTTGACTCATTTCCCTACCTTCTCCCTACCTGACAGCTTGGAAATGAACCCAGTGGGACAGTGAAGACAAAGGAGGCTTGGCTGGTCTGGTGGACTCAGAATCTCCATCCATCCAGACATGACGGAAAACAGACATTGGGAAGAGCAGGGTAGTTAGTCCTGTTCTATGCAAGGGGCTTAGCCCAAGCCCCAAAGCTGCTTTCCTTTAGGGATTGGTAGGAAGCTTAAGGTGATCATTGCCAAAAGTGGTTCTCTCTCATTAAAACAACTAGTAAAATGTAACTTTTTTTTGACACATTGTTTCATTTTCCTTTTTCATGGGAAACCAAGGGAAAAGCACATTGCAATCCATCCAAGTGTTGTAACTGTTGTGGCTCATTTCATTTTATATTTGTTAACACTTGTGTGACAAAGAGCTCAAATGTGACATCTCTTGTGTGTCATTCAAAGAACCCAACTACACCCTTAGGTAGGAAGATTTTTTTTTTTTTTTACAGGTGTCTAAAAGCCAGCAGATAGAGCAGAATTGAAACAACCCAGCTCCCAAAGGGCCCATACACCTCCAACAGTATGAGTGACCTTGATTCACAACTTTAGCAGATACCAAGAGGACAAAAGAAGGAAAAACCAGCCTGTGGGAGCTGCTCGTTTACATGTGTTTTGTGCTATGCTTAACACACAACCAGAAAGCCATCAATCTTCAAAGGCCTCAAACATACTTTTATAATAACTAAGCAGTGCACAATCTTAGTTGGGTTACGCAAGATGGCACAAAATGTCTCCATGGAGGTAGTATGGTATACACGTTGGTGCAAGTAGAGTGGGACAGGGGAAGGTATTATATTTGTAGTGACTCCCTAGGGGAAAGGCATTTAACAGCCATGGACAAGAGCCTGGGCCGGGGTACTTTTGTGGGAAAGCAGAACTAAAGTTAGCTGTAGCATCAAAAGAAAAATCTTTGTTTTTCGTGTATGTGAATCCAAGAATAATTATAAACTCTACAAGACCAGGAGGGTAAGAAATGGACACCAAATTACTAACTTTGTTGCTCAGTCTGCTATGGCTTGGAAAGCTCTGGAAGTCAAGTGGGAGCACTTATACCAGGTAGGCACATTCATACCATGTTGGTCTGAGGCCTCCTCCACCATTTTTCTGTGGTTCACTCAAGGCTGGGTACCCCAGAGCTATGCATGGCTCGGTTGGTAATGCCAGCTTTCGGAACATAGCACAATACCCAGGAAACTTGAAAGCTAAACCTGTAGGATTAATAGAAATTGATGATGATGTTACAAAATGAATTGGGCTTGACAGGGGTGGGGGTCACTTTTTTTGGCAGGTTTATTGGGAGGATTTTTTTTTCTTCCTTCCCTATTTGGAAACATTATACATTGGGTGATTTTTATTTCTCCCCAAAGAAGATGCCTGAATAACTAGACTGAACTATGTGCAATAAGACAAGTACAAAGGGAAACAGAGAAGGTGACACGGTGACAAGGTTACAGGTTATAACATGGATAGTACTTTGAAAATCAAGTCTGAAGTCAATCGGATCAATGAGAGAGGCAGAAAGAAGCTCTTTTTAAAAACTTGGGTTACATTTTGTATTTGGGGAGCAGAGAGGAATGGAATGGGAGCAGTGAACATCATGATAGTCTGATAGCAAAGACAGATTAAGTAAAACAGGTTTTACTGTTTAGCTGTGTTCAGTTAATACAAAAGGTAGATAAAGTACTAGTCCTTTGAGACTAACATGATGAATGATCAATGTGGCGGAAAGTGCTCTAGTTATTGCATACAAGCACTTGCAAACTCTTTACAGATGAAATATGGAGCTCCTGGTCTGATATAAAGCCCTTATTGGATTCTTTGGATACATGTACGAAATTGCCTGTTTCAGACAGATGACTATGTTGTGAGCCAGGTTGGTTTTTTATTTTGTTATATGCAGATGAGTGTTGAAACTGTTAAAATTCCAACTTGTTTTCATTCAGTATTAGTTTAGTTCTAAATATAGCAAACCTCATCCAGGTGCTATCAGATGACCAATTACTGCTTAGTTAACTAGGTGTAAAGTTTTACATATCCATTCATGTCAATAGTTTATTACAAGTTGTGTAAAATGGACTCTAGTTTAATAAAGGGGGGAAATGATTAGGTTGCTCCTGAAACTGACTGTAGAGCATGTAAAATGATTTTACTGGATTCTGTTGATCTGTAATCAATGAAAAAAAGATGTATGTTGTAGACAAAGTTGCAGAATTAAAGAAGAAATCTGCTTTTAATTTATTCTTTTGTATTAAGAATTTGTATAGTACCTTTACATTTTGCAAAACAGTGTTGTCAACACTTATTAAAACATTTTCAAAATGAAAAGACCCCAGTTGCCTCTTGGACATTTTTTCTAAATGATAAATACTTAATCGTGCTCCAGAAATCTGTAAAGGCAGGTGCACTGGACTAATTTCTTCTTTTTAAGCATCATCAGTTTGTACGTAGTATTCCGTTTTGTTTTGTTTGGGGGGAGGTTTGTTTGTTTTGTTTTGGATGGTCTCTTTATACAGTCCAAGCTGACCTGGAACTTACCATGTAACCCAGGCTTTGAATGCAGAATCCTCCTATCCAGCCTGTTAGGATTATACGCATAGCCACCACACCCAGCTATGTATGGTATTCTTCCTGGCTTGCTAGACAAGAAAGATAAGCTTGGTTGGTTTGGTAGTTTTCTGCTATATCTTGTCTAAACCATACATTTTTTTCTACTCCAAAAAGGATTTGAGATTAGAGGTCAGAGTTTTCAGGACACTATCAGTATTTTTTTTAATTATTTATTTAATAACAACATACTTAGAAGAAGCTTCATTACAACAGCATTGACACATTCCATAACAATTTCCAGAGATAAGATACATCTCTTTCAAAATTGGCTGTAAATTTTTAGGTTTACAGTTGAATTAATAGAGTTATACAATATTGAACTCAGTATAAACCCTATAAGACATAAAATTGAATGATATTTTACCCTTTAAAAAATATCTCCATTTCATTTTAAAATATGCTGTTTCATACAGAAAAACTCATTTTTAATGCAACTAACACTCAGATGTTTGCACATGAGTCTCTAATCTCTCTCTATATTATTATTACTAGTCACAGTCAATTACTTTTTTTAAATTATTTAATAACCACATGATTAGAAGCATTTCATTACAGCATTAACATATTCAAAACCAAAGCAAAGACGCTTCTCTTTCAATATTGGCTCTAAATTTTTAGGTTCACATTTGAACTAATACAGTTATACATTATTGTACTCGGTATAAACCTTATAAGACATAAAATTGAATGAGGCTTTAAACTTTAAAAAAGATCTCCATTTCATTTTAGAATATATTGTTCCTTGCAGAAAGACTCATTGTTTTTGCTACTAACACTGAGATGTTGGCGCATGCATCTCTAATCTGTATGCATCTGATTATTATTAGTTCTAATCGGTTGCACTTGGATTCTT